GGCCAGGCTGGTCTTGAACTCCTGAGCTTAAGTGATCTGCCCGCCTCAGCCTCCCAAAGTGCTGGGCTTACAGGCATGGGCCACCAGGCCCGGCCATTTTGCTATTTGTTGTGTATATGTGTGTTGTGTTTTCGGTCATTTAGGGGTTTGTGTTTTGTGTGTGTTTTCTTTTGCTCCTCATTCCCCCATTACTGTTTTTTTTTTTTTTAAGTTGGTTCTTTATAATGTTCCATTTGACTCTTTTTCTTTTTTCTTTTTTTTTTTTTTTTTTTTTTTTTTTGAGATAGAGTATCGCTTTTGTTGCCCAGGCTGGAGTGCAATGGCATGATCTCAGCTCATGGCAACCTCCGCCTCCCAGGTTCAAGCAATTCTCCTGCCTCAGGCTCCCAAGTAGCTGGGATTACAGACACCTGCCACCACACCCGGCTAATTTTTGTATTTTTAGTAGAGACAGGGTTTCATCATGTTGGCCAGGCTGGTCTCAAACTCCTGCCCTCAGGTGATCCCCCCACCTCAGCCTCCCAAAGGGCTGGGATTACAGGCATAAGCCACCCTGCATGGCTTCAACTCTTTTACTCTTTTATTCCATCTTTTTTTAGTTATTATTTACTGGTTACCTTGGAAACACCTAAACTAGTTAAGTTAAAATTTGTTTAGCTGGGCGCGGTGGCTCAAGCCTGTAATCCCAGTACTTTGGGAGGCCGAGACGGGTGGATCACGAGGTCAGGAGATCGAGACCATCCCGGCTAACCAGTGAAACCCCGTCTCTACTAAAAAATACAAAAAACTAGCTGGGCGAGGTGGTGGGCTACTTGGGAGGCTGAGGCAGGAGAATGGCGTGAACCCGGGAGGCGGAGCTTGCAGTGAGTCGAGATCCGGCCACTGCACTCCAGCCTGGGCAACAGAGCGAGACTCCGTCTCAAAAAAAAAAAAAAATTGTTTAAACTTAAACACCTAGTTATCTTAAATTTATAACAACCTAGTTTGCATGGTATCAACTTAGTTTCAATAGTATACAAACACTCTGCACATATATATCTCTATTCCCTTCCCTTTATATTGTTGTTATTACAGAATCTATCGTTATACATTGTAAGACCATTAACAGATGTGTAATTATTATTTCATGCATTCGCCTTTTAAATAATATTTTTAAAAGGCAGAAGTTATAGATGAAACTTAAAGTACAATAAGACTTTTAGAACTGGTAGTTACCTTTGCCAGCATTTTTTTTTCTTATGTCTTCAAGTGACTGTCAAACGTCCCTTCATTTCAGCCTGAGGGGCTCTCTTTGCCATTTCTCATAAGGTGGGTCTCTCAGCTTTTGTTTATCTGAAAATGTTCTATTTCTCTTTTATTCTGGAAAGATAATTTTGTCAGATAACTCTTGCTTGACAGTATTTTTCTTTTTTTTTTTTTTTTCAAGAAAGGATCTCACTCCCATCACCCAGGCTGGAATGCAGTGGTGCAATCTCAGCTCACTGCAGCCTGGGCTTCCCAGGCTCAGGTGATCCTCCCGCCTCAGTTTGCTGAATAGCTGGGACTACAGGTGTGCACCATCACACCCAACTAATTTTTTTTTTTTTTTTTTTTTGTATTTTTAGTAGAGACAGGGTTTTGACATATTGCCCAGGCTGGTCTTGAATTCCTGGGCTCATGTGATCTGCCCACATCGGCCTCCCAAAGTGCTGGGATTACAGGCATGAGCCACCATGCCCTGCTGATTACATTATTTTTCTTTCAGAACTTTGAATGTGCCATCCTGCCTTCTACCCTCTGTGGTTGTTGAGGAGAAATGAGTGGTGAATTTTACTGAGGGTTCCTTTTATGCTATGAGTCACTTCTCTGTTACTGCTTTCAAGATTCCTTTTGTGTATGGATTTTGACAATTTGATGATAACGTGTTTCACTGTGAATCTCTGAGTATGGTGCTTGGAGTTCATTGAGCAACTTGAATGTGCATATTCATGTCTTTCAACATATTCAAGAAGTTTGGAGCCATTCTTTATTCAAACATTCACTTCAGGTCTCTCTCTCTGTCTTCTCCTTCTGAGATTCCCATAAGGTATATTTTAGTATGCCTGATGATGCTCCACAAGTCCCACATGTTCTACTCGTTTTCTCTTTTTTTTTTCTTTCTGCATCTCAGCCTGGATACTTTCAATGTCTTATCTTCAAGAGTGCTGATCCTTTCTTTTTTTTTTTTTTCCGAGACAGAGTCTTGCTCTGTTGCCCAGGCTGGAGTGCAGTGGCACCATCTTGGCTCACTGCAAGCTCCGCCTCCCAGGTTCATGCCATTCTCCTGCCTCAGCCTCCCGAGTAGCTGGAACTACAGGTGCCCACCACCACACCCGGCTAATTTTTGTATTTTTAGCAGAGACGGGATTTCACCATGTTAGCCAGGATGGTCTCGATCTCCTGACCTCGTGATCCACCTGCCTTGGCCTTCTAAAGTTCTGGGATTAATGGGCATGAGCCAAGTATTCATTTATTATACTTTTAGCTCCAGAATTTTTTTGGCTCTTTTCAATAATTTCTATCTCTTTATTGATATTATTTATATATTGTTTTCCTGATTTCCTTATTTGTTAATGGTCTCCTTTAGTTCAGTGAACATTTGAAGACAGTTGATTTAACATCTTGTGTAGTAATTTTAATTCCCAGGTTTCCTCAGGAACCAGTTCTGCCAAATTCCTTTTTCCTGTGAATGAGCCATCCTTTCCTGCTTCTTTGTATGTTTTATAATTTTATGTTGAGAGATGGACATTCTGTGTATTACATTTTGATAACTCTGGAAACCTAATCGTCTCTTTCAGTGATTGTTGATTTTTGCTTATTGAAGGCTGAAGCAATTTTTTTGTAACTTTTCCAAACTAGTTTTGCAAAGTGTGTAGTTCTTGTTGTGAGAATGCTGAATTTTCTGTTTTCTTATATCTGAAGTTAGCCAACGACCTGACAAAAGTTTCCTTAAGTGTCTATTTCCAAAAAGAGAAAAACAAAAAATCTTATTTCCTTAAATCCCCTCAACAGGGTTGCTTGGAAGCCTCTTCAGCCCACAGAGTTTTTTAACTGGTATTTAACAATGCCAGTTAAAACAATGGTCAGTCTTAGTGTTAGCCCCTTGGTGTTCTAAAATAGCAATCAGCAATCAAATACACAACCTGAGTTTTAGAAGACAGGTCTCTATTGCCCACCCTGGCACCAGCAATCCTTGCTAGGAATGTGGACTGCTCTCCACACTCCTGCTTGCCACAGGGTTGGGAAGGGAGGCTGGTAGCCACTACCCGAAATGCTGAAATTCGGCAACCTCTTCATCAAGCTCACTCTTGGACACCGCAAGTGTTCTACTAGACGCCAATATTCCATGGCTACTTAACGAAGTTCTTGCCAGTTAAATTGTTGTTTTGGTAAAGGGACGGATTCCTGGAGCTCCCCGCCCCACCACCTTCCATCTGGGCCTTCGTTTTTCTCAAATAGTAAATGAGAAGCTTGGAGAAGATGAATGAGTCACAGCCTAGAATCACCCGAAGGGCTTTAAAACCTAGTGATGCAAAGGTCTCACCCCACCTCACATAAATGATCACTGAACGTGAAATAAGACGTCTCTCTCTCTCTCTCTTTTTTTTAATAGACAATATAGCTCTGCTGCCCCGGCTGGAGTACAGTGGCACAATCATAGCTCATGGCAGCCTCAAACTCCTGGGCTCAAAAGATCCTCCCACTAAGGGAGGAGACCACCCCTCATATTGTCTTATGCCCAATTTCTGCCTCCAAAGAAAGAAAAAGTAAAAACTAAAAGGCAGAAATGAAATCCGCAAGCAGACAGCCCGGCACCGCACCCTGCGCTTGGTAGTTAAAGATCAACCCCTGATCTAATCGGTTATGTTATCTATAGATCACAGATATTGTATAGAAATGCACTGTGAAAATCCCTGTCCTGTTTTGTTCCCATCTAATTACCGGTGCCTGCAGCCCCCAGTCACGTACCCCCTGCTTGCTCAATCCATCATGACCCTCTCGCACACACCCCCTGAGAGTTGTGAGCCCTTAAAAGGGACAGGAATTGTTCACTCGGGGAGCTTGGCTCTTGAGACAGGAGTCTTGCCGATGCCCCCGGCCGAATAAACTCCTTCCTTCTTTAACTCGGTGTCTGAGGAGTTTTGTCTGTGGCTCGTCCTGCTTCACCACCTCAGCCTCCCGAGTAGCTAGGACCACAGGCACATGCCACCACACTTGGCTAATTTGTCATATGTCGGGGGGAGTTGTTTTAGCGGTTTTTGGTATGTTGCTCAGGCTGGTCCCGAACTTCTGCCCTCCAGCAATCCTCTCGCCTTGGCCTCCCAAAGCCCTGGGATCATAGGTATGAGGCACCGCGCCCGGGCAAGGGGTGTCTCTTTTTATCCTTTTTCTTTTTTTCTTTTTTTTGAGATGGAGCCTTGCTCTGTTGCCCAGGCTGGAGTGCAGTGGCATGATCTCAGCTCACTGCAAGTTCCACCTCCAGGGTTCAAGCAATTATCCTGCCTCAGCTTCCCGAGTAGCTGGGATTACAGGCACGCGCCACCACGCCCGGCTGATTTTTGTATTTTTAGTAGAGATGGGGTTTCACCATGTTGGCCAGGCTGGTCTCAAACTCCTGACCTCAGGTGATCCACCCACCTCAGCCTCCCAAAGTGCTGGGATTACAGGCCTGAGTCACCGTGCCCGGCCTGGAGTGTCTCTTTTAAACAGTCTCCCCAGGGTATTCTCACACTACCAGATGCTCCTGCTCCAGAGATCACTTTTTGAGGAGCAGGATCCTTTCCAGGTGTTTATTTTCCACGTTGGGCTTAATTTATTGAGGTTTTGACTCAAGGAGAAACAGATTCTAGCCTCAAGGCAAAGCAGCTGCTTTCCCCTCAAGGCAGCAGGAACAGGCTACTTGAGTGACAACCTGGGACAAGCATGCAAGCAGGTAACTCTTCAAACACAGGCTAAAGGCTTCAGAGCAGGAGGCTACTTACCAAATATTTTAGCCAAATGTTCCTCTCGTTCCTTTGAACCTGATGCAAATACAGCATCGTTCAAGCTCTTTGGTTGGGAATAGCCTATGGGAAAATAAACCATGGCTGTGATTAAATCTTTCATTGGATCTGCAGGTATTCCCTTTAAATTGATACTCTTCTGCACGGCATTTTGAGGGCAGCATCATGAACTTGGCATGAACCCACCTGTTCTGAGTGTCACAGAGCAGTCATGAAGTGTCTGCAAGCATCTGAAGTTCCAACACAACACCAGGGGCTAAGCTCATTTTCACATGGTCTCTTGACAGACAATATGCATAAGCATTGAGAGATTTGTGCACAGGGCAGGATTAACTCTACGGGAAAACTGGTAGAAAGGCCTAAATGGTGTATGCCAAACGATTTCAAGCACAATCACTTTGATCCAATAAATGACAAGTGGACAGTTCTCTGTTAATAAGACACTGATGAATCATTAAGAAAAGATATACTTAATCAGGCAAGCACTTTGCTAAAAATGTGTTCCTAGTGGCCAGGCGCAGGGGTTCACGCCTGTAATCCCAGCACTTTGGGAGGCCGAGACGGGCGGATCACGAGGTCAGGAGATCGAGACCATCCTGGCTAACACGTTTTGTCGCCCGCTAAATTTTTTGTATTTTTAGTAGAAGACACGGTTTCACCGTGTTAGCCAGGCTGGCCTCGATCTCCTGACCTCATGATCTGCCTGCCTCAGCCTCCCAAAGTGCTGGGATTACAAGCGTGAGCCATCGCGCCCCGGCCAGGCGCATTCTTAACTGGTACACGCAACTATGGCACCACACGGACTGCCCTCACTGGGATGATCTTGAACCACTCACTTTTATGACGCATTACTGTACAGAGGAACCAAGCCCACGCCCTAAAGATCACAATGCTCCTGGAGACTGGACTAGAAGTAAGAAGACTTCAGATCATTCACACAAGCTTTCAACCAGCCTTATCCTCTGCCAGACACAGGACGAGGTGCTGGGGTTCAGGGAGGAAAGGTGACCTGGTGTGTGGTGTGCCTCCCCGAGCCATCTAGATAGTGGGAGAGGCAGAAGTATACACAGATATAACAGACATGAAACGTCACACACAGAACTACAAAGCAAGGGCGCCAGGAAGCAGGAGGGAAGAAAACCAGCTTGGCCTGGCCGGGCCGCGGTGGCTCAAGCCCTATAATCCAGCACTTTGGAGGCCGAGATGGGCGGATCACGAGGTCCAGGAGATCAAGACCATGCCTGGCTAACACGGTGAAACCCTGTCTCTACTAAAAAAATACAAAAAACTAGCCGCGGCCGAGGTGGCGGGCGCCTGTGCTTCGTCCCAGGCTATCTCAGGAGCTGAGGCAGGAGAATGGCGTGAACCCGGGAGGCGGAGCTGCAGTGAGCTGATATCCGGCCACTGCACTCCAGCCTGGGCGAACAGAGCGAGACTCTGTCTCAAAAAAAAAAAAAAACAG